GGTTTTTAAAATTATTTTTATATGTCAAAAATATCTCCATGAACTTCCCCAAAATTTAATTTTAAAAAGTTGGGCAGGAACAGTGGCTCACATCTGTAATTCCAGCACTTTGGGAGGCTGAGGTGGGCAGATCACTTGAGGTCAGTAGTTCAAGACCAGCCTGGCCAACATGGCGAAACCCTGTCTCTACTAAAAATGCAAAAATTAGCCAGGTATGGTGGTGCATGCCTGTAATCCCAGCTACTTGGGAGGCTGAGGTGGGAGAATCGCTTGAACCCAGGAGGTGGAGGTTGCAGCAAGTCAAGATCGCGTCACTGCACTCCAACCTGGATGACAGAGTAAGACTCTGTCTCAAAAAAATAATAAAAATAAAAATAAAAAAATGAAATAAAAAGTTGGGCTACCTTTCAGAAATCATCTATTAAACCTACTGATAAGCATCTGTATATTTAAGGATACCTGCCAAATATCCTTGTCCTATGACACTTGTCGTAACTTAGCAATGCACTACCAACATTCTGATTACAAATCTTTAGCTCATGATAAGGTTGATATTTCCACTGTAAAATATGTAGCACTTAGGTTTTGGAAAATTATCCTACTTAAAACCATTCGAATGTCAATCAATACATCATAAAATACATTTGAAAGAAGTATTGTTTTGTCACTTTCAGTATTCTGGGTGTCTATGGAATTTGCTTTCCCTTTCTTTTGGAGGAATACTTTAATAAAAAACAGTCATTTGTAATTTGCTCATCAACTGCTTATAGTTATGTTTGTAAGTATTTTTATGCAATTCCTTTGTAATAGAGTCCAATATCTAATTTTTCTGGAAAGCCACTTTATTTGTAGTTTTAATTGACTAGTAAAAATTGTAGGGTGACTAAATCAAGCTATTTCACACATGCATTACCTCACATACTTACCATTTTTTGCATTTTTGGTGGCGAGCTGGAAAGCTATTTTTATAGGCCTTTTGTTCATACCCTATCGAAATGATCACTAATGCTGGTTTAGAGAAATCTGAATTACTGAGATTCTATGTGGTAGGTAAGAATCGGAGGACAGGGCCATCGTTTCTGAATGGTTCATCCTCCTGAGTGACAGTAGCTGTGATTAAATAAACCTCCCTCCCTAGCAAAATCATCAAATGTGGTGACTGCATTAACTTTGGTAGAGGACAGCTTCTGAAAGAGCTTTGCTTTCTAAAGGAATACATATTAATGGTTTCTGAAATTTTAAAGTATTTTAAATCAGTAGGACTAAAGGTAAATGGACAGCTAAATGTGTGTTTTCAGGTGAAATGACAGTAAATCCTTGTGCTCCAGCTCATAAACTGAACCTTCAAAGGGGCATAGTATGGTCCTGCTAAATAAATCTCTTGCTCATTCTGTAATTAGCAATGACTATAACAACTTTTATTTCTCCGTTTAACGTTTGTGAGATAGCTTCAGTCTGTTTCATTTCATCATTCATCTTTTTGGAAATCTCACTGCTGCCACAACAACCATGCATATAAATTCCTCACCATGCCTCTGCAAATCAAACAAAATGTACTTTAAGCTTGCCTCACAATCAAAGGCTGTATGTGATTTATTTTCAAACTGTTCTTAGGGCTGGGCCTAAATGTGACACAGCTACGCACAAAAGCACAATGTTTTGGACAGGGTCAAAGTCCACGTAGAGAGAGAGACCTAGCATAGCACAAGACACACAGTAGCCATTCTGCATTCTGTAAATTTGTTTTCGAATGAGATCTATGTAGAGAAATTTACCCCACTCTGTCTTCCTTGTCTAAAGGAGGAGGCTTTTCATCCTTTTTTAAGAGACATTTCTAGGCAAGTTTAGGTGGACTGTCAGCAGGTCAGGTTCACATCCAGTCACATCTTGATCACCCCAGTGGATCCCTAGCTAGGCGGAAGCTTATAGAATCAGAGGCCCATCATAAGGCACAATGAATTACAAGATGCCACAAGCATATTTGTCTATGAAAATCTTCACCAGGTGGAAATGGCCAAAACAAAGATCAGCAACCCCCAGGGGAAAGGGCTCACCCTTTGCTAAGCTTCCAAAATACTTCAAGCCCTGCAACCAGACGCAGACCCATAAGGACAGGACCTGAGTGAAACCAAGCAGTTTCTGGGGAAGGAAATCTTTTCATTGACATTTTTGGGTTACTGTTGCACTACCACTAGTTGTCTCAGAGCTCTAGGGAAATGATGATCATTTTTCATGGGTTGCTAGTTTTTGTGAGCTTCTGGTTGGGTTGGTTTTAAGTTATGAGAGCAATAGAACTTCCCTGACAAATGAAAGTACTACCTATTAGAAGCATGTCAGTGCTACTCAAAATATGGCTTGAGAATTGACACCATCTATATCACCTGGGAGTTTGTTAAAAAATGTAGATTCTTCAGACCCCACCCCAGATTTACTGAATCCAAATCTCTGGGGGTAGGGCCCTGCAGAGTGAGTTTTAACATCTTTCTGGGTGATTCTGATGCATGCAAAAGTTTAAGAAGCACTGATCCACCTATCCTTTCCGGCTTTCATCCTTGGAGCCAAGACCCTCAATTTGGAGGAGGGGCGACAATGTTCCCAGTAAATACCACATTTCCCTGCCTCCTCTGCAGCAAAGGGAGGCTGGCTCGGCTGCAAAGCACAGCCCCTTTGCCCATCGCCCTTCCTTCTGCTTCCTGCCTGAAATGTGGATGCGAGGATCAGTGCTTCAATAGCCATCTTAGCCCATGAGGCAGCCTCAGTGATGGAAACTGCACTAAAGATCAAGGAGTCTGAAGGCAGGAGTGTGCTCCCAGGGATCAAAAGGCAGCCACACCAGCCCTGGCTTTCCTTCCTCCAGACTCCCTTCATATGAGAGTAAAATAATTTCCACAATAATTAGGTGATACTGGGCTCTTTCTTTTCCTTATTGCAGGGGATGAGGGATGAAAGGGAATTCTTCTTCCTAAACTGTAAACTTATTATAAATTGGTTTCTTTGAACTTTCAGTCGTATGCCATCCAACACAATCCCAGGTCATTTAGCACAGATGCCTCCTAGAAAAGCCAGATGTAGAAGTGGAGATACCTTTTCCAGGGCTACTGGGATTCTTACCCCACTCACCAATGTCCCTCTTGCATTCCTGGCCCCTATCTCTTCTTCCATGTAACACTTTCTGTAAAACTGATTAGGTAAAAATCGATTAGGTCTGTAGAAAACAGGCAAGTGCATCATTTCCCTTACCTAGTTTATAAAGATACAAAAAAGGGTACACTCCTCAAAGAAAAAAAAAAGAGGAGGGAGCCACTACATTTGGAAATCCACAGCTGACAAGTAAAGTAGTAGCAATCCTTTTACAAACGAAAGGTGCATTTTGCGGATTGTAAGGTCATTGTCCTCGGTGTTTATGGCCAATTTAATATCCATCTTGCCTACTCCCTGTAAGCGGAATGAGGCAGGAGGCAGAAACTGTGACCAGTTTTTTCATCACTATGTCCCCAGGACTTGGCACAGGGACTGGCCCACAGTCAGGGCTCAATAAGGATTTGCTGAATGAATGAATGAATGAATGAATGAATGAATACTAATCTTTTTATGTTTAAACTGATGCTTCCTCTCATTCTAGTAAAACCACCAAGCGAATAGTCAATGAATGGTCTCAGGGAACGGAGAATATGTGTTACATTGTCCCATTCCTCAAACAGCAGGCTTCCCCAGAATTGCACGAGAGCATCACCTTAGGCCTTGTCACCCTCTCCTCACATTACATGTAACCTGGGCCACATCATTTAACCTCTTGAGGTCCCCACGTTGCAAAATAAAAAGTTGAAGGAAGCAATTCTCGATGTTTCTCCCTGCTAATTCAATCAATTTAGGAATACAGAAGAGACCCTAGTGCCTGAAAATAATCTCTAACCCCAGTTCTTAAGGTTTTCTTACAGTTATTTTTAGTATTTAGTTTTAATGAACACAAGGTAGCAGGGAATGCTGGGGTTGGGGGTTATTTGTTACATAACTTCAGGATAATGTACTACAAACTTCACAGATAGGCACACCTCTTTCACTCACTATTTTTAATAAAACAAAAGATCAAAAATCAGTATCAGGAGATGACACAATACAGTTGGGACTACGGAAAGCAACTATCTCCAAGCTTGGCATCATAAAATACATCATCATGAACTGTGAACCAATTTGCTAAACAAAGGACAGCCTCATCCTTTTAACCCTCCACAGCCGACAGACATCGGGAGTCTCTTGGGGTAGAACACGAAATGAAAAAGAAGTGGATGGCCAGATGCTGTACGTTGTCCCCCAGTGACCTGCTACAAAGACTGTTTTGTTTTGTTTTGTTTCTGAGACGGAGTCTTGCTCTGTGGCCTAGGCTGGAGTGCAGTGGCCAGATCTCAGCTCACTGCAAGCTCCACCTCCCGGGTTCACGCCATTCTCCTGCCTCAGCCTCCTGAGCAGCTAGAACTACAGGCGCCCGCCACCTCGCCTGGCTAGTTTTTTTTTTTTTTTTTTTTGTATTTTTTAGTAGAGACGGGGTTTCACCGTGTTAGCCAGGATGGTCTCGATCTCCTGACCTCGTGATCCGCCCGTCTCAGCCTCCCAAAGTGCTGGGATTACAGGCGTGAGCCACTGTGCCCGGCCCACAGAGACTATTTTTAAAGACGCATTTATCTCAGCAGGAGTGACAGCATTTAAGTAGCCAGGTACTCGTGCTAGACAATCCTTCATGAGAAAAGTCTGCAGAGCTTGGATGCACTCTTCACAAAGGCCTGAGTGATAGATCAGATGGGAATTGCCCTTGATTGTTAGGTGGCTGGTTTAAAGACCCGTAAAGATAATGCAGAAGTGAGAGCTTGGAAACCAAATGGAGTTAGCCCCCAAATTATTGCAGCCACCCCAGCACTCAAAAGTTAATCCGATTTTAAATTTACAAGATCCATCTTAACTAGAAATGCAGGCTCTAATTGTCCTGCAATATTTTTAAGTGGTAGCTGTTCAATGAATTGTATTATCTCATTAAAGAATAATGTTTTAGATGTGGTAATCCCAGACTCACACAATTCTCTTTTATGAACCTAACCACTGCATTCATATGGAAGGTAAATTACAGCTATATTACATCAAGCCTTTCATTATTGACACAGCATTATGTTAGGTACCCCTATAAAACACTGAGAGAAAGATTAATACACAGTGGTATATATATTTGGAGGGATCAGGGTGTCCAGTCAAAGGGACATGTCTTCTCTCCCTGTTCAGAAAAAAAGGGAGGGGTGTAAATAAAAAGGTGAGGATTGACAGAAGCAGAGTAAACATTTTAACGATTAAAACTGATCACAAATCGACGGTGGAAAGGTGTCATAAGATTTACCCCTACCAACCCGTTAATTGAGGAAAATTACAGGAAGCTGTCCTGAAGCTATCATAGGACCTAAGCATTTCTCCAAAACTGAGAAAACACTCGATGCAGCCATTATTATTCTGTTTGAAATTTTCGGAGAGCTCTGATAGGGAAAATGTGGCACTTTATAGCCATTGAGAGCATTGCAAATCAATTCAAAGAACTAGTTCTTGCAGGCTGATGTTCATTCGGCCTGGGCAGGTTCAAGTTCACCTCCACTGGCGGTTGTGCATAGCTCACTGTCCCCTCCATTGTCAGACACTTCTGATGTTGTTCCTCTTCCATGCAGTCAAGACTTCAGTCTATTGCTGACCTTCATCAGAGAGGTTTGTCCTAGGCTCCTCCCCCAACCCACACCCCTGTTTATGTTCAAAATTGGATTTCAGGAAAGAGTTCTCTTAAGCACTGAAGAAAGACATATTTGGCATCCACTACACTCCCTAACTCCCACTCCAATGGACTCTGTTTCAAAAGCCCTGGACACATAGCATAGATTTCTCATGAGACCCGACCATTCTAACAAATATGGATTGCATTTGCATTTTACCGCTAGAACAAACAAAAAGTATTTACACTTGGAAGAACTGTGGCTACACTTCCCCATCCCTCCCTCAGTCCCCATGTTGTTTGATTCTTGCCAGAAAGAGTACCAGAGGCCACTGAACACATCTCACGTTGTTTTGGGGTGAGTGGCAAAGTAAAATGCCAGCACTGAAGATGGTCAGCTTGAGTTTCACAAGTCATCTGTGTAAGAGAGAGAAGTAACTACTCACTCCAACTGCACAAACAAAGTGCCTGGATTAAGCGGACTGCACAACGTGAGTTTGTTAAGTACATCCTCCCAGCAGAAAGTTAAATGGCTGTAAGAAATTGTGCTTGCATTTCGTTTGATCAGAACTCATTTCCTGGGACCTCAAACACCAAGTTCTCCCAAAATATGGCTAAAATGCTGGCAACATTTGCAGATACCAGATGTGGAAATTAAACCCAAATAAAGTTATATACAAACTTAGTTTACAGAATACCTAACCCATTCAATTTCTTTGAATAGAGCAAAACAGAAATAAATATCCTTCTTAAATGTATCACCTAATTATCATGGAAAGCCTAGGAGACTTAGGAGAAAAGTAGATCTCTATAGATGTTGCTCAAATATTTGGCTTTCCAGATCAGAGTATTCTCAATGCTACCATGCCAGTATTTGAGTGGAAAATATGATAGGTGATACTTTTAAATGCAAAAATATATGTATCCTGTACTTCAAGCCCAATCTTCGTATAATGACTCTAACTTCCAGCCAAGTTGATTTGTTAAGTTGTTGGGCTCCAAGGAGCTTTATGGAGGAGCTTGGGTATTTCTTACCCTCTAATTCCTTTTGAAATGCAAGTAAGTCCTTGCACTTGACTTAGAGAAATGCTTACTCCTCGCATCGTGTGTGCACTCACTGGAGAATCCTCTCCCTGCCTTGGACTGGGAAGACCTGAAGTTAAACACGCAGCTCTGTGATTCTAAGGGTGGCTCAGGGCACCCCCAAAACAGTCACCTGAGTTACAAACATATTGACAGCTGAAGTGGGTCCTAAACTAGGGGTCACAAAGTCAACTTCTCCTCGCGTGTTATCCGAGGTGCCCTCTGGACCGTAATAGGCAGGAAGTGTGGATGCATTTTAGTGTCCTGGACAAGATTCTCTTGACCTTTCCTTTTCCCATAGGTGGTTCACATCAGGACCTGCTCTCGAGTCTCTGGCAGTCGAAGGGCAATCAGGCCACCACCAACCAGAGAAGCAGCAGCCAGAAGGATGGGGACCACTTTGGTTATCCCAACAAAAGAAGCAAATATGGTGTTTCCCAGGATGGCGCCAAATTTGCATAATCCATTGAGAATGCCGAAGGCTGTTGCTCTGTAAAAGAAGAAGAATGGAAATAATTCTGACATTCTGAACCTCATTAGATGAACAGGACTGGAATCTTTCTTTTCCTTATTGCAGGGGGAAGAGGGGTACGAGGGAATTCTTTTTCCTAAATATAAAAATAACACATTCTCATTGTAGTCAAATTTGGAAATACAGAATAATATAAAGATGCATGGATATCTAACGTCTTCACCGAGAGACAATCACCTCTGTTAACATTTTGAAGTATTTTCTTCAAGTGTTTTTCTTTTTTGTTTTTTTTTTCCCAAAGATATCTATTTAAAAAATTTTTACAGGTACGACATGCTTACTATGGAAATCCTGAAAGGACGAAGAAGTATGCAAAGCAGAAAATGTAAGTGTTCCCCCTTTCAACACTCAACCGTCCTGAAGCAGAGACTGCCAGTTGCCCCCAAATAGCGTTTCCCCAAATGTAGGACTACATTTCCCAGACTCATTTGCTGCTGAGAATGGCCATGTGACTTAGTTTTGGCCAATGGGATGTAAGTGACAGTGGCGGCAGTTTCCAAGAAGCTTCATTAAGGGACATTGTGGGTGGGCCTTTTGCTCTGTTCCCCTTCATTCTTTTCCTTCTACCCTGCTTCATGATAGAACACAGATGGTTTCATTTTGGACCATGGTGAGTCCATGCAATGAAAAGCAATGAGATAGAAAGAGCCTGCACCACCCACTCTAGACTTTTTCAGGAAAGAAAAAATGCAATGCTTAACCTTCTCAAGACCACAGCAATGTATTTGAGGTTTCTGTCAGCCACAGCAAAACCTAATCCTAATTATGATCTTTCAATCCCACTTTCCAGTGAGAATTATTACTAATCATTTATTCTTTCATGACCCCATCTGTATGCAGAGGCAATATTCCCAATACTACCTCTCCCCAAGTGAAATAAAGTGTTTGTTTCTCATACCACAAGTTTATTAAGAAAGTGGGTATATTTTTGTACTTAAAACTCTTCTTTCATTTTTGTCTATAACTGTACCACACTGTAGCTTTATAATCACCAACCCAGTCTTTTTCATTTGTTTGTCTTAGTATTTTTGTTTTTGTATTCTCTTGGATCTTTTAACATATGTACTTTTTAAAATAAACTTTTTTCAAGTTCCCAGGGGGGCAAAAAAACACTTGTTGAATTTTGAATGAACTCTTTTATGTTAGAAAAAATCTGAATACAATTTGACATTTTTGTGAGATTGAATCTTTTTATCCAAAATTAAGAATATCTTGTCTCTTAAATATATATACATTTATTTATATATAATAAAAATATACTATTTATGTGCTATTAATTATATATATTATCGTAATTATATATAAATACATTATCCATAAATATATACATTTTCTGAGACAGGGTCTGTCTCTGTCACCCAGGCTGGTGTGCAGTGTTGTGATCCTAGCTCACTATAACCTTGAATCCTCGGGGCTCTAGCAGCTCCCCCCATCAGCCTCCTGAGTAGTTAGGACTACAGGCACATGACACTATGCCTGGCTAATTTTCTAATATATTTTGTAGAGATGGGATCTCTCTATATTGCCCAGGCTGATCTCAAACTCCTGCCTTCAAGCAATCCTTTTGCCTCGGCCTCCCAAGTCACTGAGCTGGCATATATTTATCTTCTCTTATGTGTCTTTTTAAAATATCTCTTAGTAAAGCTTTATGGTTTTCTTCATTTAAGTGTTTCACTTGTCAAGTTGATCCCTGATTATGTTATGATGTCTGCTGTTATTAAATGGATTTGAATTGCATCTTTAACTTTTTCAATATATTTTCAAACCTATACATAATTTAGTTTTATTACTGACCACCTGACCAAATTGTCTTTTTCTCTCTAGTCGTCTCATTAGTTAATTCTCTTAGGTTTTCTAGATGTAAAATCACATCAGATTCAAATAATAATCATTTGTCCTCCTGTTATTTCGTGTAAAACTTAGCAGTTCTTTGACTCAAATGAGAGGGGCTCCAAATATGACACACTGTGCTCTTCCTTAGTTATCTATATCCCAACACCTCTGTCGCCAATTTTGGAAATATCACTAAGGTTTTTGCAGAATTTCATTTACCCACCTTCCTTACCATTTCACATTCCTTTTTGAACATGGGGCCTCTTATCTTCTCTCCTTAAAATTCACAATTCCCCCTCCATGAAGAAAAACAATTACTAAGTAATGACTTTCACCCTATGCCTTTAAACCAGGCCTATTCCCATATATGACCTGTGCAAAATAAAAGTAACCCCTGGGCCTCCCTGCCACATTCTCTGCAGATTCCCTGGAATTCATGCTGCCTCCTGAGCTTTATTTATCTCCCTGCTGCTGTGCTATTCCAGTTCTTCACTTTTTTGCCTTATCTCCCATTGGCAGGTCTGTTCTCTCTTGTGGATTACATGACACATATGGTTTTGTCAACTTTTCACTCTTATTTCCTTCTCCTGGACATAGTCTGCTCCCATCCTTTGCTTCTTGCCATCCTTCCAACCTTATCAAGCCCTAGCCTGCCAACTTTCAGGTCTATGCCTTCCCCCATGCAGGAGAAGTTCAACATAAGAGACGTTTGTTTCATGGAACAGCAGAAAGACCACGATGGCCATGCACAGCATGAGATTCAGGGAGCAGGTAGACTTCTGACCAAAGACACCCAAACAAGTCCCTGAGGAAAGCCCGTGGAAGAACTGACCTCTGGTTGGTGGGATACAGCTCCACTGTGATCACATCCAGAGCATTCCAGGCCGCAATGCTTGTCCCACAGAACAGGCACTGCCAGCCGATCATCGCAGACTCACTGTTGCCAAAAAACAGGAAGAAGCAGCAGACTGCAGAGATTAACATGGAGCCACCTGCAGAGGGAGTTCAAGGTCAAAAAGAAACATGAGGCCTGTGTCTTGCACACGGCTATCACTCACAGTTCTCATCCCATCTCCCACCCTCACTGGTACACCTGAAGCCAAGGCTGCCTGAAGTATTAGGTTCATCCTCCACACAGAGACAGCACAGCTGGAACCCTCCCATGGCACCCCAGCCATGGCAATAGAGCCCTCTGCGTGGGTCGGATCACCAGACTTAGGAAGGCTTCTGAAGTCACCACACTAAGGTGCTGCCCAGCTCAGAATGACAGGCCAGGGCAGATAGGGGCATTTGTTGAGAATCTATTATGTACCCGACATTGTTCTAGGTGCTTAAGCTACATCAGTATCAGTCAAAAAACAAAAACAAAACCTCAGACTTGATTTGAAACCAGGATGTCAAAGAGATCTGTGCCTCTTCACAATAGTCACAATAGTCAAAATATGGAGTCAACCTAAGTGGCCATCAACAGATGAGTGGATAAAGAAAATGTGGTTTACGTACACAATGGGATACTATTCAGACATTAAAAAGAAAGGAATTCTGGTAGTCGCAGTGGCTCACACCTGTAATCCCAGCACTTCAGGAGGCCAAGGTGGGTGGATCACTTGAGGTCAGGAGTTTGAGACCAGCCTGACCAACATGGTGAAACCCTGTCTCTACGAAAAATACAAAAAGTGGCCAGGATCATTAAAAAGTCAGGAAACAACAGGTGCTGGAGAGGATGTGGAGAAATAGGAACACTTTTACACTGTTGGTGGGATTGTAAACTAGTTCAAACATTATGGAAAACAGTATGGTGATTCCTCAAGGATCTAGAACTAGATGTACCATATGACCCAGCCATCCCATTGCTGGGTATATACCCAAAGGATTATAAATCATGCTGCTATAAAGACACATGCACATGTATGTTTACTGCGGCACTATTCACAATAGCAAAGACTTGGAATCAACCCAAATGTCCATCAGTGACAGACTGGATTAAGAAAATGTGGCACATATACACCATGGAATACTATGCAGCCATAAAAAAGGATGAGTTCATGTCCTTTGTAGGGACATGGATGCAGCTGGAAACCATCATTCTTAGCAAACTATCACAAGAACAGAAAACCAAACACCGCATGTTCTCACTCATAGGTGGGAACTGAACAATGAGATCACTTGGACTCGGGAAGGGGAACATCACACACCGGGGCCTATCATGGGGAGGGGGGAGGGGGGACGGATTGCACTGGGAGTTATACCTGATGTAAATGACGAGTTGATGGGTGCTGACAAGTTGATGGGTGCAGCACAGCAACATGGCACAAGTATACATATGTAACAAACCTGCACGTTATGCACATGTACCCTAGAACTTAAAGTATATTAAAAAAAAAAAAAAAGTGGCCAGACTCGGTGGTGCACACCTGTAATCCCAGCTACTTGGGAGGCTGAGGCACCAGAATTATTTGAAGCAGGGAGGCAGAGGTTGCAGTGAGCTGAGATGGCGCCACTGCACTCCAACCTGGTGACAGAGCAAGACTCTGTCCAAAAAAGAAGAGAAAAAGAAGGAAAGAAGGAGGGAGGGAAGGAAGGAAGGAAGGAAAGGAAGGAAGGAAGGAAGGAATGAAGGAAGGGAGAGAGAGGAAGGTAGGAAAAGAAAAGAAAAGAGAAAGGAATTCTGCCATTTATGACAACATGGATGAACCTGGAAGGCAGGATGCTAGATACAGTCCATGGGGTAAGCCAGGCACACAAACATCTGCATCATCTCACTTTTCCAGATCTCTACATAGCATGGTGACTACGGTTACTAACAATGTATTGTATATTTCAAAATTGCTGAGAGTAAATTTCAAATATTCTCACCACAAAACATATATATGTGTGGTGATGGATATGTTAATTAGCTTGACTTAATCATTCCACATCGTATATATGCATCAAAATATCACATTGTACCCCATAAAAATACACAATTGTAATTTATCCATTAAAAATAAAAACATAATTTAAAAAAATCCATTCTCATGGAGCTTATAACCTGGTGAGAATACACCTGTACATGATGGGCTACTGAAGGGAAACCTGAAGAAAGGCGGTGCTATTCTGCATTTACCCGAATCCCCACCCCAGAGATCTGACCTGCCCTTTTCAGCCCTACTCTATACTCTGTACTCTATACATGTGCTCTGTGAACAATACCCTCTACCCACTAACCCCATGGACTTTCTTATCAGTTGGGACGAGAAAGTGGCTGGAGTACCTCTTCCCAACTCCTCCCCTGGGGTAGAAGGCCTTTTCTGGCAATGGTTGCATCCCTCCAAGACCCCAGTTCCTCCCAGGTAGCTCTTGTTCCATGGTTCCAGCCCCCACGGAGCTCTGTGAGTGCAACTGCCCCCCCTTGTCCTCGTAGCCATAGAGGTGGTAACTGCTTCTCATTTTTGCTAGTGTCTGGGTGCCTCACCTGCCTTATTTGTTTCCACAACCCTGCCCACACCTCTAAAAGCCCTATGAGTAAGGTTTCCTTACTAGAACTATCTGGGGTGAATCCCTTTTCCCCTCCAGGAATCTAAGTATGCAGTCCATGAGGTTAGCGTCGCAGGGCTCCCAGCAGCGTGGAGAAGTGCAGCTCAGATCTCTGGGGTGGGGATGGGAGTGAACAGAAAATGAGCAGCACAGCCCTTATAGAGCTAATAGGAGATCCCATCCAAAGAAGACTGTCAAATGCCGCCCAAATCCAGTAAGTTCAGCCTGGAGGAACTTGGTATGCAAGCTCCAAGTCCAAGGTGGATGCAGAGCATGGCAAAACAGGTTGCAGCCCAGGAAAGTGACTGGCGATGAGGTAGAAATAGGGTGAACAGAAAGGTGGGAAGGAAGCAGGTCTCAAACAACCAATCGGAACACAGGGCACGAGTGCCCCACCAGGCACCAGGACCCTGTGGGAGGAAGGTATTCCAGTTGGCAAGAAGCCAGAGACTGACCTAGCCTCAATAAGAAATGCCTCCCCAGGGATGGGCCTCAGCCCTGAGTGTCACCCTCAGACCTGGGGCTGCAAGACTAGTGCCAATCCTTGCTGATGAACTAGGAAATGATAACTGCCCAACTGGATCTTGCCCACTCTGGGAAGCAGTAGGGCTGTGAGCAGGCGCCTGGTAACCTTTTTCCAAAAGCTAGGAGAGAACTAGAACAGGGGAAACTGGCATGCTTAGGACCCCAAGTGCTCTGTGGACAATACCCTCTACATCCATACATCCCTCAGAGGGGCCAGCCACGGGGCTTGGCTTACAGTAAATGCTGGCAAGCACTTGGTAACCACAAAACATGATCATCTGACAAATCAGCTAATACTCAGGGAGGCCTTCCCTGATCCTTCAACTCTGTTAGGTGTTCCTGCTATAAGTCCCCAGGGCCCAGTGTACTTCCACTTCTATAATTCTTATTCCTTTTGTAATTGGGAGGCCTGGGTGCAAATGCCAGCTTACGTACTACCTGTGTGACCATGAGTGAGTTGCTTCACCTTTCTGTGAGCTGTTTCACAGTCCCCATCTCTAAAATGTTGATTAAATTAGTGCCTACCTCATAGGGTTATCATGAGGGTTCAATGCGTTAATATTGAACACATGTTCAACATTAATAATATTCAATAATAATAAGCATGTCATAGTGTTGAGGTAAATGAAATCTCTAGTTGAAGTCTGCCTCTCCCAACAGATCATTTGCGCCATAAGCACGGGGATATTGTCTGTTTCAATTACTGTTGCATTCCCATTGCCTCCCACCCAGCCTTGAGAGAATAAGTACTGTATAAATAAATGTTACTGAATGAATAAATGAGTGGGTAACAGCCTAATCAGGAAAACTTCTACTCCACTGATAACAAGAAATGACTTGCACACTACAAAGAGCCCAACAGATTAAGCAGAACAAAAATGTGCTTGCAGATTTTCTAGCGGGGTTGGTCTGAGAGCTGGGGATAGGGCTATTTCAAAGTGGTTCCCCCACATCCCATATCCCAGTGAAATAGGTATTAATTGAGCACCTCATCTTTACCATGCACTGCCAGTATCACAGTCGACCCACTGCACGTCAGGCCTTTTACTAAAGACTGAAGGGTAGAGAGACAAGGAAGGCCCTGGCTGAGCTCTTAACAAGCTTGCCTCTAGCTCAGAAACAAAACAGAGACATTCACAAGAGAGTAGGCTATAAAGAATGATTAAATATTAGTTCTGGATCTCTCATTGGAGAGCATGCCTTTATTTAACATTATAGGAATTGTTTTGATCTGTGATGTATTCACTATAAGAAGGGCTTCAGTGGTGAGGGAAAGGATGTCTGCTGTCTCACCATTCCGCCTGCCCCTGTGCCCAGCCACATGGCCCCCACTCCACTTCCTTGAGGGAGCATGTGGCAGGTCGTTAGGTGGTGGGACGTTCTCGTCGACATGGGCACCCACCTTATCCTTATAACCCTGCCTCCCCCAAAACTTCCTCAGCTGCTTCATGAACAGACCAGAGACTCCACTGGTAAACTCTGGGACTCATAAGGCTGGTGACAAATGGCAGAAGTGTCACATGTCTGCTCTCATACCCCTATCTCATTGAGGAAAACAGAGGTATTATTTTAACAATGGAAATGGAAGCTCAAAGAAGCTCAAAGAAGTTGACTTGGGTCAACACATAAAGCTAATCTTGGCAGAGATGGAGCCACCTGACTCCCAGCCAAAATATTTTTAAAGATGACAACCTATAGTGTCTTCTGCTGAAAACTTGGTGTTTGGAGCTAACCTAGGAAAGATGCCATCTTCATCTGTTCTGGTCAGTTCAGTGGCACTGCTGAGTATCAGCTCTACTGCAGGCACTGCGCTGGACACAGGGGTCATGGAAATGAGTAAGCCGTTGTCCCTTCCTCCATAGGGCCTCAGGACTAACCAGGCACTCCCTCTAAGAGAGGAGAACATGAAGTCTGCCATACCTAAGAGATGACTCCACCCTCACCACGAGATTAAAAAGCTGAAGTCACAGGCACTTCTCATGCTCACCACGCTGAATATGCATGCTACTGTTTATAATAGTGATATTCAGTATTAGCCAAATGCCAGGAAAAGAATTCCTTTCCATGAAGACCTGATCAATTTCCTCTTCTCCAACAAAATGACTTCATGATTTATTTTGTTTTGTTTTGCACGTTGCTGCTAGGAATCTTCCTATTAACTTTCCTAATCAACGACCTCCCTAAGGCAGGTCCCTAATGGCATGTTTATTAATAACATGTTGTCCACTTCCCCACCCCTGGCCTTGACTCAGATTCTAATGTACATTTTCCCTGATCCTCAATGTGTACATTTTGCTTCTTGTTTACCATTCATAGCATGTGTTTCTGTAATGAATTGCTGCAAGTCCCGATGGAATGAGGCAAGGCATACATGAATATAGCTACCATTTTTGAGAACCTACAATGTGCCCAGTATTACAGGTACCTTATGTTCAATTCTCACAAAACCCTGCCAGCTAGATGTGGAAATCGTTCTCTTATAAATAAGGAAACTGAGGTCCAGAGAAGCAAAGGAACACATTCAAGGTCAAACAGCCTTTCGGTGATGTCTTCAACATGGCTCTGTCCAACTCCAAAGCCTAAAGTGGTATTGCTATTAAATAATAAAAGTAATACAGTTTACCTTGAAACATCAAACCATCATCCAGGACCATTTTATATATTTTTCTGACAGTAATCTGATGAAGAGACAGGGTGGATATTATTACTACCCTTTGAAGTGCTAATAGATTAAATGACTGTCACAGAATTTCTCTGTCAGGAAATGAACAAAAATCCCTCGCCTAGACCAAAGATTCTCGACTATTTCCAAGGAGCTCTGGAGTTTTCTATAGGCACGCATCCTTGGCTCTATAGCTCCATGTGCGATCTTACGTGTTGGGTTTATTGTGCAATAATTACTTAATAAAAGGGAAAATTTTCCTGTTTTAATACACTTGAAAGTCACTACCCCAGTGCATTGGAGCCCAGAAGTGACCCTGCTGACAACTCACCAATCATCTTGAGCCTTCCAATTCTATCCATGAGCAAGGCAGAAATGATGTTTCCGGGTAAGACAGACAGGCTGCCCAGGAAGCTGACGAGGTAAATCAGGAAGTCATTATCTTGCTCCAAGTCCATGTGGCAGCCCTCCTTCTGCTCCAGAAAGGTGGAGTTGATAAACTGACAGTTAATGAACTTATGCTCATAGAGGTCTAGGGAGAGAAGGAAACCTTCGGTTCATGTAAGTGCAAGGGAGCTGGAGAGAGAAAGGCAGAGGCAGGGATGAATTCTGCCCCCTCCTGTAGGCAGGCTGTGGTAGCCTTTGCCAGTCAGACAGCCTCAAAGTCAAGGTAATATGTGGTCATGTCATCAAGGTATGGATGAATAGAGAAACTTTCAAAAATGTAATGACCTGTTCGAGTTCCTAAAAGCAAGGGGGAATTAAACTAACACTGAGAGACTTAAAAATTCATCCTCTCAGCCAGGTGTAGCAGCTCACATCTGTAATACAAGCACTTTAGGAGGCCAAGGTAGGAGGATCACTTGAGCTCAGGAGTTCAGAACCAGCCTGGGCAACATAGTGAGATCTTATCTCTACAATAAATAAATAAATTAATTAATTTTTCTTTTAAATTAACTAGGTGGGGTGGTATGTGCCTGTAGTCCCAGATACTCTGGCACCTGAGGCAGGAGGATAACTTGAGCCCAGGAGGTCAAGGCTACATTGAGCCATGGTCATGCCACTGCACTCCAGCCTGGGCAAAAGAGGGAGACTTTGTCTTAAAACAAACAAACAAACAAACAAACAAAAAACACTCTCCAGCTGGATAACAGTTCTGTTTGTACTAATCAGGTGACACTGAGACACTGAGGACCATGACAGCTAGGCATCTCCTTGGAGGCTACTTGGCATAGGGAAGCAGAACACAAGAGAGTTGGTTCCAGATGGAGCCAATCACTCCAGAGCCCCTGCTGTGGTCTGTGCCAAAACCTGAACGTTCTTAAAAAATAAAAGCCATTGGCATTGGAACCAGTTTGAAAGTCTTCTGACACCTTCTAAGATCAGTTGTTCTGACAGAGGAAGTCCTAAACAGGCTCCCCAGAAACCTGCGTTTGGGGAACTGGCCCTGCTGTTGACCCTGTTTAACCTCCCTGAGGCTCTACCTAAAATATCTACAAAATTGGAAGAGTACACCTGATCATCTCCACTGCTTCTCCCAGCTCTGACATTTCCTGACTACATGTGTTTGCAAGAATCTCTATGATCAGAGTATTCAAATGAGGAGGCATCATTCAAACTTGAAATCATAAAACAATATGCCAGTTTTTAATGACACTTAGTAAACTTCTGGAACTCATCATTGTTTCAAGATCAGTCTAAAAGGAAATTCAGGAAGGTAAGTGCCAGAATGAATTTTTAAGAGAGTCTAGAATATTTAGAGACCAGATATTGAAGCTCTTGAGGCTGATATCATAGAGGAAAAAGATGTTCTTATATAAACTATCCCTTGCTGCTGATGCCAAAAATAAAGCATAGATCTGGACATAATGCAAGTAGTTCTGTGGAAAGATTGCAGGTTTTACAGCCAAACCATTGAGGAATGAATCCAAACTCCCTCCACTTGCTAACCACGGCCTTGAGCAAGTTGCTTAAGTCTTGATTTCCTTAACTTGGTTTCCTTATCTATAAAAGAAGGATAAAAAATTGGCCGGGCGCGGTGGCTCAAGCCTGTAATCCCAGCACTTTGGGAGGCCGAGACGGGCGGATCACGAGGTCAGGAGATCGAGACCATCCTGGCTAACACGGTGAAACCCTGTCTCTACTAAAACAATACAAAAAACTAGCCGGGCGAGGTGGTGAGCGCCTGTAGTCCCAGCTACTCGGGAGGCTGAGGCAGGAGAATGGCGTAAACCCAGGAGGCGGAGCTTGTAGTGAGCAGAGATCCGGCCACCGCACTCCAGCCTGGGTGACAGAGCAAGACTCCGTCTCAAAAAAAAAAATAAAAAAAATAAAAAATAGTACATTTCTCCATTGAGACGATGTAGGTAAAGCCCCCTAATGAAGCTCAGTTGGTTTCCTTATACCCCAACTTCACTTGGTATGTTATTAATTTATGATGAGGGTAGTAAAAGTAACAAGAAGCGATGAAGTGGTAGAATTTTGTGACTTTTTAAATCACAGAAATCTGGAATAGTATGATTTTAAAATAGTCTTCATATTTCACTTTATGCACAAAATGTGAACAGATGTAATTTTCCCTTTTCATTTATTATTGTGAGAACATGAGTCTTACATTTTGCAAGTTTCAAATTATGCAAGGTCTTCAAGAATGCATGCATTCCCTGCATAAAATGCAGCCCTCCTGGAATGCTAGTTGTTATTTGTGTCATCCTTCGTTTGTACCAAAGACCCTTCGTGTATAGCATCAGCCTCACTGAGATGAGGATATTTGGCTAGAACTTTTGTTTCCATTTCATTTGTGATAATACATTAAATGCCTTAGCAAAGGCTGTGCACCTAATTTGTGCCATGCCTGAGGCTAAAATCCATTTCCCCACCAAGGCTTGGCATTTGTATCTATGAATACTTTCCTACTCCTGAAGTTTATGCCTGAGCATTTTGATTCTTGGACAACACTAGTTGTCTCTTGTTACAGTCTATTCAGGCTGTTCATCTTCTTACCTACCTGTGTTATAAAAGATGGTTGATTCAATGGTACAATTTTTGAAGTAGGTATCAGTTGATGTTACATCTTCAAAATAGCACTCGTCAAAGAATGTGTCCTCAAAGAGTACATGTTTAAAGTACATTCTTGTGAACCTGTGGGAAGAGGTTGACCTTTGAGTGATTCATCTGAGAAGAAAAGAGACTTAAGACCAAAATGGAAAACACAGCAAGGCAGAAAAAGGAGATCTGCAAGCAAAAGGTGCCAGAGCATTATTTTCAACCCAGACTACTTCCCCACTTCTTAGCTGTTTGTTTATTAGTGGGGAAGGGCTTCAGGACCTGGAAGCCAGTGTCTAGTGTAGGTGCATACGGAGTGCTGTGCACCAACCTGGTGGTTTTCAAAGGCAGGTCCACGGACCTTCTGAGTCAGAATCACAGAAATGTGAAATAGTGTGAAATTTAAATATTGATAACATCTCACTTTCTGAGATACTTTTAAAACAAGCAGGTCCCTGGACTGGTCCTAGAAGTTTTGGAAGCCATAGAATTGTGATGGTCTGAGAATCTTTATTTTTTTAAAATTTTCCCAACAAAAATGTGGGGAAATAGGTACTTTCATTCATACTATTGGTAGAATATAATCCATGCAGCCTCTTTGGGGAGCAATTTTGCAAAATTTGAAATGCACATTCTCTTTGACCTGGGAATACTACCTCTAGGAATTTATCCTACACATACTTGTCCATGTATTCAAAGAGATACATTCACTGATCTTCATTGCAACACTGCTTGTAACAACAATGGATTACTACCTACATACATACGTAATAGATGCCATATAACGGAAAACCATGTAGCCACCGTAGTAAATGAGGTAGATCTATATGTGTTAATATGGAATAATCTTTAAGATATATTGTTAAGTTAAAAAATGAAGATGCAACATAGAGTTTATAACACGGGCTCATTCAGGTAAGAAAGGGCATGGACACATACGCTTCCGAATATATCTGGAGAGCTACACAAGAAACTGATAGAAATGGTTGTTTCCAGGGAGGTACAATGGAAGTGAGGAATAATACACTAAGAAAATGTATGGATACATATGCTTCCCAAACATATCTGGAGAACTACACAAGAAACTGATAGAAATGGTTGTTTCCAGGGGAGGTACAATGGGAAGTGAGGAAGAATACCCCAATTTTCACTTTTATGCCAAGTGTATGTATTATTTGTTCACTTCTTTTAAACTCAGTTAATAATATATAAGGCAGCACTCCAGATGATTACAGGAGGTGCAGCCACATGTGGAGTCACTGCACCTCTCCAACTCCTGCATATTTAATAGGAAAGAACAATGCAACATTTAAAAATATATTTCACATTCATTACCATCTTCCTCTGTTATTGTTACTTTCAATGTTTTTGGTCAAACTTTTAGGCTGGAAACCTTTTTTAATTATGTCTTCATTTGTAAGTATCATAACACATTCTTTCATTTTTCTAGTCTATTCACTTACATACTTAGTCTTCTGCAAACACTGAGCATGGTGCATTTAGGTCCTCTGAGTATAGAGTGGAAAGACAGCGTCCCTGCTTCAATCTAATTGGAAAAAGTGTGCAAGCAAATAGGCAACTACACACAGTGAAATATGGTTGTTTTCCCATATTGAAGACTTATTCTTTTTTGTTCATTATTTTATAGTTGCTACATAGAGTAAGTTTGTCTCACTATTGTTTGGTGTGTGACTTGATAACTTAGGCACACTTCCATCATCTCTTTTACCACACAAGGTGAATTAGTTAGAAATCACAGAACCTCTTTGATGCCAGTGAGTTTCCAAACCTTATAAAACCCCGCCCGTGAGTAGGATCCCCTCACCTGCCTCCAGCACCAAAACCATTATAAAAACTCCTGAGCCAGTCCCCTTCCCTGTTTCTTCCCCGCCATTTCTGAACTTTCCTGAGAGACTCCGCTCTGCTCTCAGTGGACACCCTGAAAGTGGAGATAATTAACATTCCCAGATTCTCTCTTGGTCTGAGAGTGTGGCACCATCAGACACAACATTCAGACTAAATGTTAGTTGAGATCTCTTGGCTTTGCATGGGCATAAACTACAACTCCATGTAGTGAGCTTGGTGTCACTGTTCCTATTAACAGGACACACTCGATCTCTAAACTAACTCCAGGACACAGCTGGACATGCTATGTGGCTTGGCACTGTGTCCCTACCAAAGTCTCCTTTCAAATCTTAATCTCACGTGTCAAGGGATGAAACCTGGGTGAGAGTTGACTGGATCATGGAGGTGATTGCTCCATGCTATTCTCATGATAGTAAGTTTTCATGAGGTCTGATGGCTTGTTTAAAAGTGTGGCAGTTCCTTTCTCCAACTGCCACCATCTAAGATGTAAAGCCTTGCTTCCCCTTGCACTACATGATTGCAAGTTTCTGAGGTCCTCCCAGCCATGCAGGACAGCAAGTCATTTAAACTCTTTTTATATGAAGTGTTTCAGCCTCAGGTACTTCATTAGAGCAGTGTGAAATGGATTATAATAGAATATGCATAGTGGCATAAACTCCCTTCATGTCATAAAATTTGCTGGCTATTTTGCTGTATTCTAGTATTTCCCTCAAAAATATAGAAATAAGGCTCATTCATATATATATTCAGGAGTCTCTGACCCTTCATGTATTTGATCTATTTTCAAATCTTTGCTAATGAATTGAGTGTGTTATAATTAGTGCTACTTTAATGACGTTGAATTAAAAATTCATAATCTTCACAGAAAAGGCTAATTTACAAATATTGTCATAGATATCATCATGATCAACAAAGATAATAAGTCAATTACTCTCAAAATATCCTCTTGTTTTGTACCCTCCTTCCTAGACCTTCCTGTTTCCTTGCCAATATCTACAGGAACTACAGATTTATTTATATAACTTTTAAATTAGTTTATATTCTATAGAATTTATAAAAGTTGTATCTTATGTATGTACTTTTATTTGTTGTACAGGAACAGCTCTCACTTCGTATTCAGAGTGAGGACAATTTATCCTTTATCTGTAGGAGGTGAGGCTTAGTGGTGTGGAAATGAATTTTTCTGTCAAGATCTCTGTGCCTGACAGAAACCAAAGAATATGAGAAACAAGTCGCTTCAGCCTGCATAGAAGAATTCCTCATAGAAAAGGCAATACTGTGTCAGATCCCCACAGAATTAAGAAGCAATAAACTTTGGGTAAACTGAAAATTGGCAATTGCTTGCAGGCTGCATTTTGCTTTTCCATGTTATGTGAGAGAACTGCAACTACGGTTTCTATATAAAAATTCATAAACAGTGTGTTGCACAGAGAATGCAATTCCACCATCTCTTCTTACACATCAAGTTGTCCCATGGACCAGGCAGGCACCCAGCTGCTGCTCTGTGACATTCATCACCTGGTTTGTGCCAAAGACATCCATTCTTGAATCTCCTTCTAGATAATGACTGTGCACGGTGAAGATACTAAGGTGTGGCTGGTTCCGGGCAGACGGAGGATTCCTGGTGGGCAACTGTGCTCAGGAGAACCAATGGCCCTGATGGACTTAGCTTGGAACACTGAGGGGCAGTTAGGAAGCCCCATCAGCTTCCCAGCCTTCTCCATCACTAGTTGTAAGATTGGCACTGCAGGCTGACAAGTGCTCAGCCTCACCCGGCCTCCTGTGCATTTTTCTGCCTCCATTAGTTAAAACTGCCTTTGCTACATGTGAGAATATTTACTTCTATAATACCAAAGTTTTCTAACCCAGAAACTTCAATGGTAGGAGCAGAACCACAAATAAAGAGAGATCCCAAAGAGAGAACTGTTAGACTCAGAGAAATCATGTTACACCTCCCAAAAACAGTTCATCTTCACCTGAGCCTGAAACTGTCCCTTTATCTATTTGGGTGCTGAATTCCCCTGCAGCCTCCTTCTTTCTCCCTACAGGAAAGTTGTGTCTGGGCTCACACTGATGTCCCTTCCCTGGTACCTTCACACAATAATACAGGGCCGTAAGTGCATCTGGCTCTCAGACTGTTCATTTGCAGATATGGTGAGTTCTTGGCATTGTTTCTGGAGATAGTGAATCTGCCCCTCCCAGAGTCTACTTAGTATGTTTTCCTTCCTTTGTACTTTACATCTATTACTCACTGAAGCCCCTTCCCTGAGCTTCGGGCTGATTCAGCTGATCCAGTAACTACTGAAGGTGGATCCAGAGGCTGCACAGGAGAGTCTCAGGACCCTTGCAGGCTGTACCAAGTTTCCTCAGACTCCAACAGCAGCAACTCACACTGCACACCTGTAATCAAAGAGACACTGTGATCAGAAGCTGCCATACATATCCACTCTTTCTGTCATTCAGGTCCATTCATACTCAATATCCTCTAAGTGTCCAAGTGTATCTATCACCTTTAAAAATAGACAAGGAAACCCAGCTTAGCCCAAACCCCATTGTGTCTACTCTTGATCAACAAGTGGGAAGCACCTGGGAATCGGGCTGGGGCTCTCTTTCCCCAGCTACAGAAAATCGAGCTGGGCTCTGTTTTCAACAGGAGAGGGAAGGCCCTCTTTGCTGGTCTCTCCTTCTTAGCAAGCTCTGGGGTGGGACACCTGAAGAGACAGCAGGGCCCAGAGCAGATGTGAGACTCCTGGAGGAGTTTGAGAGGCAACGGCAGAATTTGGGACAATATACTTTCATTATGACTGTGCTATTAAAATTACTAAGCAATTTGTATTTTTTAACATATTTGTATTATACAACAGAAATATGACTGTATTACAAACTTTAAGAGTTATAAAGAAATAAATAGGAAACAATAATAAAATAGAAGACTTCAACACCTTACTTTCAATAAAGTGTAGAACATCCAGAAGAAAATTTGAAGAAGCCAGTGCACTTGAACAATACTATCTCATCAAAGTAACTCTAATAGACATTCACAGATCATTTCAACTAACAGCAGCATAATATGCATGCTTCCAAGCACAGATTAAATATTCTCCATGATAGGTTATATGTTAGATAAAAAAATACATCACAATATGAAAAATGTAGCATCAGCCATTCCTTTTCTTAAAATCGTGTGCTACCAACCTTTCAAATGCTTTTTGTAAGGCTACGATTATCATATTACCAGTAATCGACAAGGGCAGAAGGAGAAAATAACCATAGACCAATATTCCTATTATAAATAAATAAACCACCTGCACAATAATAGTCAATTCAAATTCACAAGACTTTAAAAGAATCGTACACCAATACCAACCCAAATTTACTTTTGAAGTGTACCGCTAATTCAATGTCAGCAAATCAATAAATTTGACATGCCACATTAAGAGAATAAAAGAAAAATCCTATTAATCTCTCATCAAACACTGAAAATTCCATTTTAAAATGCAAATTTCCATCATAAAAATGCTTCAAAACAAACTAGGTAATACTGGAAAATAATTTGTAAATAATAAAAGCTATTACAAAAATCCATGAAGCATTATCCTACTTAATAGTGAAATATTAAAATATTTTGTCCCAATATCTGCATCAAGGCAATACAAACGTGAGTCATCTCAGTTCTACGTTTCAAAATTAATTACAAAAATTGAGTATGAACAACAGATGGTATTGACATAAATGCATATAGAGAGCTCAGAAATAAACTGGTATCTTCATGACAAA